CGATGTTTTTCCCAAATATTTTAAGATCATAACAGGTCATCACTACCGTATATAGTATCCAACTTAACAAAATCTCAGAAAAAAAATAAAAAGATTAAAAAAAGAAACTATAGAAAAAGAAAAAGAAAACCCTATGGTTTCAAGAGCCGTGAGCACAGCCCATTCCCCAACAGAGCAGCACTCTTCCCTAGCTTGCCTTTGTTGTCTGTACAAAACCCCATTCACTCACAAAACCGGAGGAAAAAACCAAACCCATCTCTCTCTCTCTCTCTCAAACCCAGGAATGGGTCAGCTGAAAACCCTACAAGCTCTCCGCCTAACACTCTCTCTTCTCCTCTTGACCACCACCGCCGCCACAGCAGACGACTCAGATGTGATGTCGAAGCTTGCAGAAGGCCTCAAGAACACACCCAAAGACTGGTCAACAGGCAAAACCTACTGCGACTGGGAGGGCGTCAAATGTGACGGAAACAGAGTCACCTCCATCAACTTAGCCTCCAAGTCTCTCTCTGGCTCTCTCCCTTCAAATCTCAACTCTCTCACTCAGCTCACCACCCTCTCACTCCAAAGCAACTCTCTTTCTGGCTCCTTTCCTTCTTTAGCCAACCTCTCTGCTCTCCAACAAATCTTTCTGGACACCAACAATTTCACTTCCATTCCTTCTGGATGTTTTCAAGGCCTCTCAAGCTTGCAGGTTTTGAGCATGAGCCAAAACATCAATCTTGATCCATGGGTTTTCCCCACTGAGCTCATTCAAGCTTCAAGCTTGGTCACTTTAGCTGCAGGTAATGCAAACTTATATGGGTCTTTGCCTGATATCTTTGCTTCCTTTCCAAACTTGCAAAATCTGAGGCTTTCTTACAATAATTTTTCTGGGTTTTTGCCCAAAAGCTTTTCTGGATCTGGGATTCAAAACCTCTGGCTTAACAATCAGCAATTTGGGTTATCTGGTACGATTGAAGTTTTATCAAACATGACCCAGTTAAACCAGGTTTGGCTCCATAAGAACCTATTCACTGGTCCGATCCCAGACATCTCAAAGTGTGAAACTTTGTTTGATCTTCAGCTTCGTGATAACCAGTTAACTGGCATTGTGCCAGCCACATTGATGTCCTCAACTGCCTTGCAAAACGTTTCTTTGGACAATAACAAGCTTCAGGGTCCTCTGCCTGTGTTTGGGTCCAATGTGAAAAAAGCCACATTTGATGGTACTAATAGCTTCTGCCAAACCAAACCAGGACCTTGTGATCCGCAGGTCAACACTCTGCTTGAGGTTGCAAGGGCTTTGGGGTACCCAATTTTGCTTACTGAGTCTTGGGAAGGAAACAATGCTTGCGATGGATGGAGCTTCATTGTTTGTGATACGCAAGGAAAGGTTATCACTGTGAATTTTGAGAACAAGCATTTCACTGGGATCATTTCGCCTGCTTTTGCCAATTTGACATCTTTGAAAAATTTGGTGTTGAAGAATAACAATTTGACCGGGTCGATACCGGCTAACTTGTTAACCTTGACGCAGCTTCAGCTTCTTGATGTTTCCAATAACAATCTTTCTGGGGAAATTCCGCAATTCCCATATACGGTGAAGTTAATTACAACAGGCAATGTCTTGATCGGGACTACTCCCAGCTCTGGAGGTGGAGGAGGACCTCCATCCGGGTCTGGTTCGAATGGAACTACACCCAATGGGAATCCGGCTCCGGCTTCGGGTGGTTCTTCAGTGTCTCCTGGTATGATTGCTGGTATAGTTA